CATATAATACTTAATCTGCAATCTCTTGTTGCAAATTTTGTCTTTATACTAATTTTTCAATAGAAAGTTACGTCATTTTTTACCATTTCACATTCATTCCGAGAAACTAGAGTACTGTACTGCCCATGTACTCTTTGAAACCTTCGATCTCTAGTGCTTCAAGAGTCTTTAGTTATCTTCAGGACAATTTAGTTTAGTATCCTTATTATTCACCCCATACCCATTTCGTTGGCAGTAGCCCACAGATTGCAGAAGCACATAGTGGGTCCAAGGACTGAGCCAGCAATAGGATGTTCTTTAATTTGATCTACCAGCTAAAAATTACTAAGTGGGCAACTATCCTTTTAAAGATAATGCTTCAACAACTCTCTCAATCAACATAGAGGTACCATAAGGCAATATCTTTGCCTCCCTACAATTCCTCATCTACATCAGTGACCTTAATGCCTCACAGGAACTTAAACCAATTCTGTTTAATGATGATGTACTTTTGTCATCTTATATGCAGAGCCTGTTATACTCAACAATAGGGTTAATATTGAACTCGTAAAGATATATCTACTTGAATGACAAGACCTTCTTCATAATGTCTGGGAACAAATTTAAAAACATTAAATTGAACATACAGATAAATAATACACACATTAAAAGACAAGATGAGGAGAAAATTATTTGGTATACACATTGACAGCATACTAAAATTAAACACGCACACACCTTTGATGAGTTTCGAGAATTTTCCTACTCCCAGAGCCCAGCCTTGGGCCAGGCTCCTCTGGTACTTACCTGGTCAACCAGGATGTTGCTGCTGGCAGCTTGCTGTCTCACATATCCATCACAGCCTGGTTCATCTGTCACCTGATGAAACTTGTCCAATTTTCCTCTTGAAAACTTTTACACTTGTCCCAGCTGTTTCTCACATCTGGTAAGATGCTGAATAGTCTGGGGCCACAGATGCCCACAGTGCCTCTGCTTTTCAGGGTTTATTTTGCACTTCCTCCCATATCTCTTCCTCCAGTGTGTTAAGGTAGTGAGCAGGTTTGTAACAAGGCCCTCAAGTACTTTCCAGGTATGTATACATATATGTTTTATAATGCATCTTTCCTCAGCTCCAGTGAGTACAAATTTAGGGCTGTAAGGTGCCCCAGTAATTTAAATGTTTTATTGGTTCCATGAAGCCCACAAATGATCTCTGTACCTGTTCCAGCTCTGATATCTCTCCTGCCCTGAATGAGACTGTTAACACTGAACAATATTCTAAGTGAGAGCACACAAGTGATTGGAAAATTGTCACCACTGGCACTATTTCCCTTGTTATTAGTTCTCGTTATCCACGTCATCATCTTCCTGGCTGTTGTGACATTTGCCTTATTGTGTTCTTTGAAAGAAGTCTGTAAACATGATTACTCCCAGGTCTTTCATGTGTTCCTTTTGTTCTATTTAATGTCCCTCCTGGAACTTACCACCATTCAGTGTCATGTTATCCTCCACTGCCCATTAAAAAATCCTTATGTCTTCCTGCAATTTCTTAGTGTCTTCTACCAAGGTGACTTTCATGCTTACTTTAGTGTCATCTACAAATGATGATACAAAACTATGATGGGTGTTTTTGCCTATGTCTGCTATGAGGACAGGAACCAGCAGAGGTCCCAGGACATTTCTAAGATTTCCAAGACAATGGGAATACTTTCTAAAATATGATCTTTACTCACTTTTTACCACACAGTAATCTACCTTGACCTCATTTATAGTATTTGTGCACAGGGATCTACAGCATTTCACCTTCAACCAGTTCTTACTCAAACATCTGCTACTAGAATGTTCCTTCACTCAGATTCCAGACAACATACACCCCACTATTCATAGGATTAAGTCTGCTCAGTGTACAAAATGTGCACTTACTAATGTGCACATTATGAATACAAAACACAGTACTGTACATGCACTGACCCAGTGCTTAGTCTTATTGGAGAGCAGCAACAGAACACACGGATGTAACCCAGGAATAAGCACCTCTTTGACCTTCGTGTGTTTGATTCAAACTGTAGAAACTCTATCCAGATGAAAGGCACTAAAATATGGAGTTTATTACTTGAAGATCCAATAACTCTAAATGAGGGGTTAGAGATACTAATTGCTGTTTGGAGGCACATCTGAACTGTTGTATCTGCATGCCTCTGGCAAGACAGTGATTGTGTAAATGATGGTGAAAGTGTTTCTATTTTGGGTCACCCTGCCTCAGTGGGAGAAGGCCAGTGTATTAAAAATAATAAAAAAATATATAAAGGATGGGGGATATAAATTGTTAGTTGTTACCAGAGATCAAATATGGAGATTAAGGGAGAATTAATAAAGGTGGGGAAAGGTAACAAATTAATCAATTTTATAACATCTGTAATTATTCTGTATGTAAAAGAATCATAAAGGTCAAAGAAATGAACAAAGCCATAAAGAAAATGAACTGTACATCATTCCCACATCCTATATCATTAATTTCGTGAATATTATTACAATCAAAACTAAGCGCTAAACCCACAAGGGTTAATTTCATGAATAGCATTCATAAAACAGGAACTGCACTGAATTAGCCAAAGCAACATTGGGCTTTGTTGTTGCATACACAGCAATGGGGTAAAGGCCATAAGAGGACAGCTATTATGTCTTCTCAGAAGTATCATGTTTGACTCTGTATACACTCTCTCTCTCTCTCAGTTGGTGAAAATAGAGGAGCCCCTAGACACAAATGTAATCCCTAATGATGAACAGCATCAAGCTTGGGAAGAGTGACTAGGGAGGTTAAGGAATATACTTGGGCTCCATAGTCTAGCCTAGACAGACTTAGGACTGAAGGATGAAAAAAAAAAAAAAAAAAGACTGCCTATCAACTTCAACCAGCTAAGACACAAAGCTATTAGGGAAGTCATGCAGGACATTAATGTTTATTTATTTTATACAATATTTAATTTTGCACTAAAGTTCTACACTTCTTTGAGTGAATGAGGAATGTGTACAGCAACAAGGCATTTCATACTATACCCCACCACAAATTGGGTCAAAAACTTTAGGCACAGGCAGGAATAACAGGATAATATACCCCAGTAGATCAAAGAGTATGTCAAAATGGGGAAAGAGTAGCCAGTGGGGTTATACAAGGATTGGTAATAGGACCAGTATTGTTTTTGATTTATGTAAATGACATACCAGATGATGTCGAGTCAGATGTATCCCTGTTTGCTGATGATGTAAAATTAATGAGGAGAATACAAGCAGATGAGGATAGGGAAAGGCTGCAAACTGATCTGGACAAACTACAAGACTGGTCAGATAAGTGGTGCTTGAATTCATTGCTTACAAATGCAAGGTTATGAAAATTGGGGAAGGGGCCTGAAGATTGGGTATAATTTTTGTTACATTCATGATGAACCACTTTTTCTGTTACACTCACAATGCACTACTGTTTGTTACACTCACAATGCAGCACTATTTCTGTTACACTCATGATGACCCATTACCTGTTACACTATTTCTCATACTCAAGATGCAGTACTATTTCATGTACATACACTCATGATGTTGCACTATTTCTCACTCATAGTGCAGTACTGTTGTTGTTACACATAGCAACACAATCTTTTTTTACACTTGTTTCACATGATGTAGCACTCACAGTGCACCAAAATGTTAAAATGTGATGCAGAACATAACACACTGCAACAAAACTTTTGATACACTTGTTACAGCACTAGTTTTGTTAGTCATGGTACAGCATTATTGAATATTTTCTCTCACTATTTGGGTCTCTGTTCTTTGCTGTTTCTTTACAGTCTTGTAATTCAGTATAATAGGCAACAGTTTTTCTTACAGTTGAAGATATTCAACATGGGGAGCCTTAAATTTTTCAAGTGGCAGTCTATTTTTAATGAATCTTGAGTGCTGGGAAATATTGTACATAAGACTTCTCCAACAAGGAAACTATGTATTTAAATATGAGAGGGAGCAGTGCATAAAGAAAGGAAGCTCAGGACGTCTGTCAAAAATAAAATTAAACCCTGAAGATTGAGACACCTATGCAGCACATGGAAATCTTTATTCAGGAAACGCTTGGCCACACAGTGGCTTCATCAGTCCAATACAAAGAGGAAGCCGTAAGGAGAGAAGGAGAATGAGGTAATCAGTCCCTCAACCTGGAGTCGATGTGTTCAGTCCATCAATCTACAAGATTGATGAATGGTTTGAAAAACCGACAAGTTGAAGATTGAGACACCTATGCAGCACATGGAAATCTTTATTCAGGAAACGCTTCGCCACACAGTGGCTTCATCAGTCCAATACAAAGAGGAAGGCGTAAGGAGAGGAGGAGAATGAGGTAATCAGTCCCTCAACCTGGAGTCGATGTGTTCAGTCCATCAATCTACAAGATTGATGGACTGAACACATCGACTCCAGGTTGAGGGACTGATTACCTCATTCTCCTCCTCTCCTTACGCCTTCCTCTTTGTATTGGACTGATGAAGCCACTGTGTGGCGAAGCGTTTCCTGAATAAAGATTTCCATGTGCTGCATAGGTGTCTCAATCTTCAACTTGTCGGTTTTTCAAACCATTCATCACAAAAATTAAACCCTGTTTATACCTTACAGGTATAATACATCATCTTCATTTCATCAAATTCACATTACACAGTTTCAACGAAACAACAATTGAGAATGAGAATAGTTTATATAATCTTTTTAAGAGTTGTGTTTTATAGCTTTACATAAGTGTACACACTTATGTAAAGCTATAAAGTTTTTATCTATTCTAGATTTTGGGCCCCTATATTCGCATAAAATTTTAGATTCAGACATACATAAAACACCAATTAGGTATATATTTTTTGATTGATGCCCATGTTAAAGTAAATGCTGAACCAGTTACCACATGTTATTTATCAATTTTGCTTTCCTAAACAAATCCAATGATTTTTATGAAAGGATTAAGTTCAATTGAATGACATTCAGGATTTTGTTATGTTTATTTCTAATATATGTATATCAGTTTTTTTGCATGGCACACTGCCTGCTTATAAATTTATTATTTACAATTTTAGAAGTTAATTACATATATAAATTGTTACAGATAAGAAATATGTTAGAGGCATATAACAGGCTACTTAAGTTCACAGATATAGCCAGCTGCCTAGAACCAATTATTTTAACATAAATATTCTTTGAATTAGAAATAATATATATAGTATATATATATATGGCATGATTACCAAAGTTGAGCATAAGTAGAGTTAAAAGAGATTTATTACATTTAACACATGAAAACAAAATTAAATAGAGATACTTGAGGGGATCTGCTAAAGACTAGTGCGATACTTGTGAATAATGGTCTAATGAGAATGACTTACTCTTCACTTCATCAATGTTACTCTAATGACCAAAATTTTTGTATGATTTGTGAGCTTGAAATTAAAATTTCTACAAGATATGACTACAACTAAGCAAAATGAGCTCTTGATGAATAGGTTAGCATCTTCCTGAAAAGAGGAGTGTATATCTTCAAGAATATCTAAAATAATGACTTGCATACTGTGGTCCAGAGGATATATGACAGTGGTTTGTGCTGATAATACTGTTTTCACATTTTGCTTCCATACCCACACCTGTGACTGGTTTCAAGTAATTTTCTACCCTCACAGCCTGGCCTAAGGCTGTTACCAAATGACAAATTTTCCTCAACTGCAATACTGTTGAATTCAGACATCAAAAGAATGGCAGTAATCAAAAACAAAAAGAGTCACAGGTTTCATCTCAAAGTAGTACAGAGAAAATGTAGATCTATGACTGATAAATATTCTTATATATTTTGGAATACTGACTCTTCATAGAATTTTAAATTGTATCCATAAAGGATTAAGAGGCAAAAATAGATTTTAATTATGGTACTCAGATAACTGACAATCCTAGATATTAAGAATTATCAGGTAAGTGTTGTCCTAACAGCCAAACATTACACTTTGACTAGGTACGAGTAATTTGCCAGAACAATATTGCTACATTTACTGCAATGAAAGCTCTACTCCATATGATTTTTACAAATTCTTAAACTTGCTGTTTACTAGTAAGGGTGGTCATTAAATAAGGAGAAATGTTCCTATTATTTAAAGCAATAAAACATTGTAAAAAAAAAAAAAGGAAAAAAAAAAATTGCCCCACTATAAAGAACTTGATGCATTTATATTTTTACAGATTTATATATGCCCCAATTCTGCCTGCTTCCAAGAAATACTTTAGTCCAAAATGCTTTTCATACTGAACTACATTCGGTTCACTAATTAATTTATTGCAACAATATATTACAGATAACAGTTACAGATGAATTTCCTTGTTGCAAAACCTGTAGTCACTCAGCTGCTACACAGAACAGATACACTTTATAAGTAATCATAGTAAGAAATTGTGAAAAACTGGAACTTCATAGACTATGACATGTGTGAATGTGGTTTTCTTAATGCCTTTCCAAATGTAAGCACTGTGCCTGAGAAATTTTATTATCAAATGCCCGAACACTGATGTTCTATGCTCCTCCTCTATGTCAAACCAAAGATGTAAAAATTGACAAAGACAATTTATGTAGGATATCTATTTTTTATCTACCTCAGCAGGAGACAGCCAGTGTTAAAAAATCTTATTATACCACCTAAAGGAACTACCATAAGATTAACTGTAGACAGTATATCTAAACATGCCCTTTTAGCCTGTTTCTTTTTATATACCCTCATAGAACTTATTCCTTGCAGGATGCCAGTTGCCTTTCAATCACCAGCCACCATGAAAATTGCCATGTCCAATCCATAATGAATTATTTCCCTTGATTTGCTGTCTCCAACCATCAAACCTTTTATATTTCTCACCAAGATTGGGTTACTCATTTTTATTAGGAAATAATTCCTACCAAACTGTCAAGTATCTTGATAATCAAAATACTGTACAGTACATCACTTGCATTCTCTCATTTATTCAGTGTTTTAATTATTACTGATCATCCAAAATCATTAATATCAATAGAAATGGCCAGACTCTGAAACATGCCTATTCACCTGTAAATATAAGAAAATTTTTTGCTGCAGTGTGTATTGGTACTTATACAATATTCTGTGATGCAACAAGCTAACAAGAAACAAGTGTCTTCATATGCACCTTAATCAATTTGAAAAGGCTTTAAATTCCAAGTGCTTTTGTGATCTCTGACTCATGTTCTTAAAGAAGTTCCTTGAGAATATAAGTGAGATATCACAAATGCACTTGGAGTTTAATTCCCTTCAAACTGGTTAGATTACAAGATACCCTACCAGTGTATATCATGAATTAATATTCCTTTATTTGACACATTCCAGAACGAGTCCCATATAACCTTTTTCATGCCATTTTGAGACCTATTCCTTAACCCTTTTAGGGTCGGTCCTGTATTTATATGCCAAAATTCTAGGGCCTTCAAATCTAGTTAAAGAAAGCTGGTAGGCCTACATATGAAAGAATGGATCTGTGTGGTCACTGTGCGAAGTATAAAAAAAAAATCCTGCAGCATGCAGTGCATATTGAGGAAAAAAAAACTCCAACCGTGTTTTTGGTTTAAAACAGCGACTTTGCAATGTATTTTCGTATGGTATTCATTATTATATTCTCGTTTTCTTGGTCTTATTTGATAGAATGGAAGATATATTACAGAAATAGAGATGATTTTGATTGGTTTCACGATGAAAAGTACCTTGAAATTGAGCTCAGATTGGTGGAAATGTTTGATTTTTGCCATTATTTAAGAGTAAACAAATCACGCCACACGTTCAATACATGTCAACTGGTGAGTCTAATATTCTTTCACAAGTGCGCTGATATTATTTATACCATTTTTGCAATAATGCAGTAGTCTGGATAACAGTAAATCTATTTTTTGTGAGAATAAAAATTCAAAATGGAAAGCAAGAGTAATATAAGGGGCCTGGAGAAGTGACTAATGAACAGAGAAAATGTTATTTTAGTGCCAGGAATGTCTGCCTTGTTTATTCTGGACCCTATTTTGAAATTAGCATCTTCTGAAATTTGGTTGAAATTGGCCAAATTGCCAATTTGACCACTTTATTGGATTGCTGAAATCAGTAAATGGGCAGTTTCTTGTACTCAATTGATAGAACAAATGGAGTTTTAGCAAAATAGCTATGATTTTAGTTGACTGGAACAATGGAACTGGCCAAAAATAGGGCTCAAAGTGGGCAAAATCGCCGAATGGTTAACTTCATGAGAACATATTTTCATATGTTTTCCATCGAATTTCAAACTTTTGGTGTCCATCAGGAAAAGATTCTCTATCATTTCATAATAAAAAAAAATAATTTTTTTTTCTTTTGTGAAAATTTTTCAACCGAGAGTGAGTTAAGGAACGGAAGTCTTGACCTTCAAAGGTCTGGTAAGGTAACATATTCTCACCTTGCTACATTTACTACATGCAGTACTCTTAAAATCTGAGCTGATGCAAAAGTGTCAAACACCATGAGCATTTCTCTTAAAATCAAATTCTTAAAAAAAAAAAAAAAGTCTATGTAAGTATTACGTTCACAAAAATGAATATATACTACGAAGACAAAACTCTTGTGCTTCACTAGCCCCACTTTTCCAATAAACCTCCACAATGAAGATGGAGGAGGGAAGTAGAAACTAGTAACCTACAATTTTGAAATGCAATGATCTTTTGATAATGTCAGGTATAGAATTATGCAGTAATTATGGAAGTTAAGGCCTATATTAACAGCTTTCTGAAGACGTAATGTATTACTGTTTATGCAACACAGATTGAATAATTCAAGCATTTATAATTTTAATATTTTTAGTTATACAAATAACATATTAAACCTAAAATTCTGTATGAGAAATCAAGCTTAACAATATGCAATGGCTAAAATACTCATGCAGCAAAAATGTTTCAGTATAATACAAAATGAATAGAATGGAATAAAAAGCAACAAAACCAAAATTAACAATCTCGAAGTACATCTTTAACAACTAAAACCCATACAGTTAATGCACTATAAAAGTAAAAACAAACAAAAAGTTAAAAGAATCATTCATTACAACCTTAATCCAGTGAATATGGAAAATAATTTATACATGCCTAATTTAATTTACTGATGTATACCATCTGCAATCCTGTGTCCAACTGTTGTATTTAAAAACATACAATAATAAGCTGGAAAGGGGTCTAGTGACTAGATGTTAGATTAAAACATGATGACTGTCTGAAGGATCTAAACTTGTTGTCTAAGAAAAAAAAAAAGACACGTCTTGACCAGTGTATTCATAACGAACAATCCAGACAACCTCAATGCTAACAAATATTTCACACAAATCCATTCATACTTCTCTTGCAGCAATACTCAAAATTATTAGTAAAATAAATCTAAAATTTTTGTTTAATAAATTATTTTTTTTTATTATTATTATCACACTGGCCGATTCCCACCAAGGCAGGGTGGCCCGAAAAAGAAAACTTTCACCATCATTCACTCCATCACTGTCTTGCCAGAAGGGTGCTTTACACTACAGTTTTTAAACTGCAACATTAACACCCCTCCTTCAGAGTGCAGGCACTGTACTTCCCATCTCCAGGACTCAAGTCCGGCCTGCCGGTTTCCCTGAACCCCTTCATAAATGTTACTTTGCTCACACTCCAACAGCACGTCAAGTATTAAAAACCATTCGTCTCCATTCACTATTTATCATTATAATCAAAAGAAAGTGGTAAACCTACTAGGGTCATATAATGTGAGCATATAGACCAAAACTTCCAGTACTGAAATTAACAACACTAACACATTTAAAACAGACATGACACTCCTCTTAAAAAACACCCACACCTTTCACTCACTGCAAGTACAATTCTTATTCTTTCAACAAACTGGCTGTATACCACTGAAGCAGGGTGGCCCAAAAAGAAAAAAGTTTATCTTTCTAACTTTAGTAATGTATACAGGAGAAGGGGTTACTAGCCCCTTGCTCCTGTAAGTACAATTATCTAATAAAATTTAAACAGACTAGCATAATAAACATACTAATCTCTTCTTTCCACTTTCAGTTCCCCAAATTTCTTGGTAACATTTGAGATTTCTTTCTACAATGCCAAACAGCCCTGGTCTAGGACCAGGCTTAGGGAGAGATGACCACTGGAATCAACAAATAGAATGTTGCTGGTTGCAAATAGTTGAAGCTATTTTTAAAATCCTAGCAAGACTCATAGTAAAAGGCACATCATAATCTGTTAAGGCATACTGAACTTCACAGAAACATGTCCGCCTAATTTTTAATATTCTGCATGTACATTTGGAAAGCTCTGATTATCAGTTGTTTTCATATAGAAAAATAATAAAGGAAAATTAAACAGGAAATAGTGCATGTGGAAAACTTGGCTTGTAGCAGGCTCCTTCAGTCAAATTGTAGTGCTCAACAAATTTTGACAGGAAATACGCAATAAATTTTGAGGGCAGTGTGATTAAAGTCATTTTTAGAAAGGGAAAGGTAATGTGCACCTTACATTTTGGGGTGGCACTATTTAAACAAAATTTGAGGTAATGTGCACAAAAAAAGTTTTTAAAGAAAGGGCTATGTGCAATCTCTTTAATGCTATAACAACCCAACATCAACAAATCTTCAAGTTAGTGTTTAATAACAATAATTCTTTGTGGTACCATTTAGGATTAACAGCTGCCATAGTCAACATGAACTATGTTTATTACCAATGATTTTGGGTAGGGGCAAGTGTCTGAGAATAAAATCAGAACTGGAGAGAGCAAACAGAAGTGCAGTAAATTCAGGAACTATTCAGAACTTTAAAATTTTACAAGTATTTGTAACTTATAAATGGATTTTGTAGACTTGTTTGATTGTGCTGCAATTTTTTTTTTTTAGATTCAGAAATTTATAATAATGTAATTAATATACAAGAGGTCACTATACAAAAAATTTAACAAACCATTGCCATCACCCAATGGTTTTTTTTTTTTTTAATAAATGATCAATTGCATATTTGAGAAAGAAGTTTTTGTTTAATGATATTTTTTATTGTATTTTTATCAAGTACCAATAACAAATATCTATTGATATAGATGCATATTTTTCAACCTAAAAAATAAAAAAAGCAGAAATTCAAGTGAGGAATAGAATACAAAATCCACCAGTTTATCTATAGAAAATACTGTACAATGGTAATTATAAGTATCAACATTATTTTATCTGAAAACTAACCTAAAAATTAAACTACTATGAGCCTTACACTACATTTCCATAAGCCTAATTTTCCTACCCATAGCTGGGAAAATTACCCTAACTCAAAACATAGCTAAGACTCATCATAGCTAATCTTGAAAGTCATCAGATAAGAGGTAGACACTAGAGGTAAGGCTCTGTCCAGTATCTACAAGCTCCAGAGCTGGGAGTCTCCTCTAAAGTTGAGAGTGTGGTGAATGCAGCTCGCAGCTTGTTGCGATGTTTGACATCTCGTGGCTTAAGGACCGACCTACAAAGTAAAATCAAACTATTAGATGTGTATTTTTACAAGTAAGATACAGAAAAAGCCACTTGGGCTGAAGATTTACATCCTCATGTGGCTCGTTCTACACTGTTAAGATTGCCTGTTTGTGACTGTACTGCATAAGTAAGATATTCAGTATTATAACAATGTCTCTATTGAGCCTACTACTATTTAATGTTGATTGGTTGTGAAGAAAGAGCAGCCATAAATTGTGGCTAACCATCTCTGTATTAAAGCATTTAATGATATGTATTGAACATGTTAAAGTGGAAGTGAAACAGAATTCTTCCTCCGTAAGCTATGCGTGTCGTAAGAGGTGACTAAAATGCTGGGAGCAAGGGGCTTGTAACACTGTCTCCTGTATAAGCTCAAGTTTTTTTCTTTTTAGGTTACCTTGCCTCGGAGGGATATGGCCGGTTTGAGAAAAAAATGTTAAATTTGTTTTTTAATACACCGGCCATTTCCTACCAAGACAGGATGACCCGAAAAAGAAGAAACATTTTCACCATTGCTCACTCCATCACTGTCTTACCAAGACTTGAGTCCTGGAAGTGAGAAGTACAGTGCCAGCACTCTGAAGGAGGGGTGGAGTTATGTTGCAATTTTTGAACTGTAGTATTGACAAACCTCTAGTAAGACAGTGATGAAGTGTGATGATCGTGAATGCATTTTTTTTTGTCACCCTGCCTTGGTAGGAAACAGGCACTGAGATAAAAACATAAAATTAATATCTAAGAATGTGCAATAAATAAACACCATACAAATAAGTTGTTAAATCTTCAGCTGACAGCTATGAAACAGTAATTCAATTTTGACTTACAAGGTTCTATATATAAATGTTTCAAGTTCTTCAGATGTATCAAGCACTTGACAGTCACTGTAGTGTCAGATGAGGAACATACAGTGTCAGAAGAGCGACATACATAAAGTGTCAGAGGAGGAACACACAAAGTGTCAGAGCAGCAGCATACATGAACTGTCAGAGAGGAGCATACAAAATTTTTTTTTTTTCAGCAAGTTGGCTGTCTCCCACCTAGGCAGGGTGACCCAAAACGAAAGAAAATCCCCAAAACGAAAACACTTTCATCATCATTCAGCATTTTTACTTCACTCATGCATAATCACTATTTTTGCAGAGGCACCTAGATACAACAGTTTAGAGGCATACATAAAGATACAATATAAAAAGCAACCTGAAATATAATAAACTCCATATGGAATATAATATCAGGGCCCCAATTACAGTGGACCCCCGGTTCATGATATTAATCCGTTCCTGAGAGCTCATCGTAAACCAAAATTATCGGAAAGCGAATCAATTTTCCCCATAAGAAATAATGGAAATCAAAGAAATCCGTGCAAGACACCCAAAAGTATGAAAAAAAATTTTTTACCACATGACTCTGGTGGCTCTGGTGGCCTGGTGGTTAACGCTCTCACTTCACACGGTGAGGGCCTGGGTTCAATTCCCAGCCAGAGTAGAAACATTGGACGTGTTTCTTTCCACCTGTTGTCTATGTTCCCCATCAGTAAAATGGGTACCTGGGTGTTAGTCGACTGGTGTGGGTCGCATCCTGGGACACTGACCTAAGGAGGCCTGGTCACAGACCGGGCCGCGGGGGCGTTGACCCCCGGAACTCTCTCCAGATAAACTCTCCAGATGATATATTAAGTTTAATGCAATACAATAATTACAATAACAATAGAATAATCACAATAGAATAATTGACACTTACCTTTAATGAAGATCTGGTGATGATTGATGGGATGGGAGGAGGGGAGAGTGTTGAAGTTTTTAATGTTTAGAAGGGGAATCCCCCTCCATTAGGACTTAAGGAAGCAAGTCCTTTCCCGGGGTTACTTCCTTTCTTCTTTTAATGCCACTAGGACCAGCTTGAGAGTCACTGGACTTCTGTCGCACAACATATCTGTCCATAGAGGCTTGTACCTCTCGTTCCTTTATGACTTTCCTAAAATGGTTCACAACATTGTCAGTGTACAGGCTGCCAACACGGCTTGCAGTAGCTGTGTCAGGGTGATTTTCATCAAAAAAGGTTTGCACTTCAAGCCACTTTGCACACATTTCCTTAATTTCAATAGTTATTAGCACCTTGGTCTCGATGGGTTGGCACTAGAAGCTTTCTTGGGGCCCATGGCAACTTATTTTGCAGAAAAAAAGCACCAAAAACAGTGATAATATGGATAATATAGAATGTACCGAATGTATCCTTAGATGCGCGCGCACTGGCTGGCTTGTAAACACTGGACACGTCTCGTATGAATCGTATTGCATACCGGGTTTTGTAACGGGAACTGAGGCAAATTTTTTGCGATATAAAGCTTCGGATACCGGATTTATCGGATACCGATGTCTTCGCGAACCGGGGATCCACTGTACATGTATATACCATCCTATTGCAAATCCCTCCAAAGTGCAGACATCCTACTTCCCATTTCCAGAACTCAAGTCCGGCTATATAAAATAAATGGCTTCCCTGAATCCTTTCACTAAATATTACCCTGCTCACACTCCAACAGCTCGTCAGGTCCCAAAAACCATTTGTCTCCATTCACTCCTAACATGCTCATGCACGCTTGCTGGAAATCCAAGCCTCTCGCCCACAAAACCTCCTTTACCCCACCCCTCCAACCTTTTCGAGGATGACCCCTACCCCACCTTCCTTCCCCTACAGATTTATATGCTCTCCATGTCATTCTACTTTGATCCATTCTCTCTAAATGACCAAACACCCTCAACAACCCCTCTTCAGCCCTCTGATTAATACTTTTATTAACCCCACACCGTCTCCTAATTTCCACACATCGAATTCTCCGCATAATATTTACATAATGAATTGCAGAAATATCTCAGACAGAACAGAGGATTTAAAAAAACATAAATAAACTTACCGATGGTTGGAGAACATGCGTGTTGGAGTTAAAATAGATTTCTGACTAAGTCCTGTTGCCTCTAAAAACTTTTCATATTGTCCACTACCAATCATGGCAGCATTGGCAGATCCACTATTAACACTGAGATCAAGTTTACCTTCTTCACTGATCTTACTGTCCAACTGCAGGGAAAGAATACAAAACAAACACAATAGAGTTAGCTATTAAGAAACCTCAAAATTATTTAGGGATCTTTATTCATTAGAAAATTATTCATGTTCTCTTCCCAAAATTTGAAGTACATATATGTATAATTTCCTGCAATATAATAATAAAAAAGAAGCACCAGACATGAAAGTAGAATGTATAATAAGATTAATATAAACACATCTAGTAATGTATTTCCTCCTGGGGCAAGTATTGTTATCATCATTTTTTTTAGGAAGATGCAAACTGTAGTAAAATTTCATGAGTAATCACTAAATGGAGATATTTTGCTTCTTCCCAAACATACAGACATACTTTTAAGTGCAGGTGAGTTATGGTTAAGTTGGCATGTTGTATCCCTTCTTACATTATAGTAACTCCCACTTTGTTTGGCAGAATACTCAGTTCACATTCTGAGAGTCTATGGTTTGATCTTTGGCACAGGTAGAAATGTTAGGCATTTTCTTTACACCTGCTTCCCCTGTTTGCCTGGGTGTTATTTGACTGTTGTGGGTTGCATCCCAAGGATTTCAAAGCCTATCCCTTAGATAGGGATAGGCTTTGAAATGAGCTGTGATAGAACAACAACTCAGCCTGTAAAACGGACTTCTGTATAAAAAAAAAGCATTACAAAAAATGCTTATGCAGATAGCAAAGGACGATGAAAATAATGTAAAAAATTAATATTCAAACCTTTGTTTCTGCTCCATCTCCACATCGCCTTTGTTCTGAGACTGGCAAATTTTCTTTTCCCCTTCCTCCTTCATCATCTCGATCTTCCTCTAGTTCTAAAGAATCAAGTGTAAACTCTTCAAAATTCTCTGTCATGTGATCTCCATCAGACTCTATGATGAGGTTGATATTGTGTCGCGACCGAGGCACATTCATGGCTGCCCTTAAACTCTCTGACAACTGCCATAAGAAAAAAAGAGTTTTAGCAGAATGCTGTACATTTTTTGTTACATGATTATTTTAAAAGCTCATATAAACTATCTGCAAAATATACATTAATTATAGTGGAATTAACTGTCTTAAATCATATACCATTAAGTAAATGAAAAAGTATTTTTGTATATGTACAAAAATTCCACATTACCCAAACAAGGTAAAACACATACTGTAAATACACAGTTTTACTCCATATTCTATATACCATAGCTGTGTGACCCTTGTAGGTTTAGTGCTTAGTTAGGGTTATAATAATCCATATACCATATCTGAATATTATATGGGATCTTAGTGTTAAACTTACTTGAATACATTTAAAAATAAGACCCTTTAAGCAAGGTGGCTTGATACCAGTGAGGGACAACTGATACAAAGATGTGGATTTATCCTCTCCTTCCTTGGTATTAAACATGACTGCTTTCCATTCTCCAGGTGCTACATGACCCCTATGGGTTTAGTACTTATCTCTGATTAAAATATACAAAATTTAAAATATGAAATGGTTTTTGACTTACTAAGTGATCTTCATCAGCAGATGTATTTACAGAATCAAGGTCAGTCTCTAACACTCTGTCTCCATCTTCTATATATCTACTATTCTTCTCAAAGTGTTCTAATGTGTTCTTTTCTTCATGCATAAGAGTAGCTTCCTCTTTTCTCTCCTCTTCTACCAGTTCCTTCACTAGTAACCCAGATGCAAATTCCACATTCGAGTAGATATGCTGATCTTCTGGGATGTCAACCTTAATGAAGAATAGTATATACTATAGTATATATTGGTGGGATATGGCCGGTTTGTTGAAAAAAAAAAATGTACTGTATCATGAACTTGTGTTAAGTACAAATGAATATCACTGCTTTACACATAATTTTTTGTTAACACAGTATGCATTACTGTAAGGCAATCAGTTAAGATTATGTATATCTGCAGCGCTTGTTTCTCCTGAGAGTTGATGGCCGACTATATGAATAAACAAACATTTCAACCACTCATCAACTTCAACTTTATTTCAAAGAAATTAATATTATTTCAAAGAAATTAATATTTGTAGAAATCCACAGGATTGCCTAGCTATCACAAAATGGAAGCTGTCAATATACACAGCATTTTGCAACAAGAAAGAAATTTGTAGAAAGAGTAAGGATTTTACATATAAAAGAAATTATTATAAAACTACCATAATTAGAATGCTTCATAGTAAACCTTAGAAATAATAACCCTCCAAAAAATCTGACATTCACTTAAATATAGTGAATAGCGCTACAATAAACACTGCACGACCTTAACACATTTAGTGCTTAATTTGATCATAATTATAATGAAAATAAAGAAATAGGGATTGTAAACAAATTGATTACAGTAATCATTTTATTTTAGGTAGTAGGTTGGTAGACAGCAACCACCCAGGGGGGAACTACCGTCCTGCCAGGCGAGTGTGAAACGGAAGCCTGTAATTGTTTTACATGATGGTAGGATTGCTGGTGTCTTTTTTCTGTCTCATAAACATGCAAGATTTCAGGTACGTCTTGCTACTTCTACTTACACTTAGGTCACACTACACTGGGATGTACAAGCATATACTATATACGCACTCCTCTGGGTTTTCTATTTTCTTACTAGTTCTTGTCCTTGTTCATTTCCTCTTATCTCTATGGGGAAATGGAACAGAATTCTTCCTCCGTAAGCCATGCATGTCATAAGAGGCGACTAAAATGCCAGGAGCAGGGGACTAGTAACCCAAAAAGATAAACTTTTGTTTTTCTTTTTGGGCCACCCTGCCTCGGTGGGATACAACTGGTTTGTTGAAAGAAGAAAAAATAATTTTATGAGAGGTGTAACTAATGAACATATGTGAAAAAAATCATTCAAGAGATTAGGGTGAACATTCTAAAAGTAGATATTGTAGATGGCGGGAATATTTTGAGGAACTTTTAAATGTCGACAAAGAAAGGGAGGCAGTAATTTCATGCATTGGCCACGGAGGTGTATCATCTTTTAGGATGTGAAGAAGAGTAGGATGTGAGTGTGGGGGAGGTGCGTGAGGCATTACGTAGAATGAAAGGGGATAAAGCAGCTGGAACTGACGGGATCATGACAGAAATGTTAAAAGCAGGGGGGGCATATAGAGTTAAGAGTGGTTGGTATTTTTGTTTAATAAATGTATGAAAGAGGGGAAGGTACCTAGGGATTGGCAGAGAGCATGTATAGTTCCTTTATATAAGGGGAAGGGAGACAAAAGAGATAGTAAAAATTATAGAGGAATTAGTTTACTGAGTATACCAGGAAAAGTGTACAGTAGGGTTACTGAAAGAATTAGAGGTAAGACAGAATGTACGATTGCAGATGAGCAAGGAGGTTTTAGAAGGGGGAGGGGATGTGTAGATCAAGTGTTTACATTGAAGCATATATGTGAACAGTATTTAGACAAAGGAAGGGAAGTTTTCATTGCATTTATGGATTTAGAACAGGCATATGATAGAGTGGATAGGGGAGCAATGTGGTAGATGTTGCAAGTGTATATGGAATAGGTAGTAAGTTACTAAATGCTCTAAACAGTTTTTATGAGGATAGTGAGGTACAATAATGTTGAAGGATAAGCTATGGCAGGAAAAGAGGGACTATAAATGTATTAATTCAAGGATTATGCGGAGTAAAATAAAGGTTGGACGTGGGAAGTGGGTTATAGTAAGCGTATATGCACCTGGGGAAGAGAGAAGTATAGAAGAGAGAGAGATTTTGGGAAATGTTGAGTGAATGCATGGGGAGTTCTGAACCAAGTGTGAGAGTATTTGTGGTTGGAGATTTTAATGCTAAAGTGGGTAAAAATATTGTGGAAGGAGTAGTAGGTAAATTTGGGGTGCCAGGGGTAAATGAAAATGGGGAGCCTTTAATTGAGCTATGTGTAGAAAGAGGTTTGGTAATAAGTAATACATATTTTATGAAAAAGAGGATAAATAAATATACAAGGTATGATATAGCACGTAATGAAAGTAGTTTGTTAGATTATGTATTGGTGGATAAAAGGTTGATGGGTAGGCTCCAGGATGTACACGTTTATAGAGGGGCAACCGATATATCGGATCATTATCTAGTTGTAGCTACAGCTAGAGTAAGGGGTAGATGGGATAACAGGAAAATGGCAACAACAAGTAAGAGGGAGGTGAAAGTGTATAAACTAAGGGAGGAGGAAGTTCGGGTGAAATATAAGCAACTATTGGCAGAAAGGTGGGCTGGTGCAAGTACGAGTAGTGGGGGGGTTGAAGAGGGTTGGAATAGTTTTAAAAATGCAGTATTAGAATGTGGGGTAGAAGTTTGTGGTTATAGGAGGGTGGGTGCAGGAGGAAAGAGGAGTGATTGGTGGAATGATGAAGTAAAGGATGTAATAAGAGAAAAAGGTAGCTTATGAGAGGTATTTACAAATCAGAAGTGTTATAAGAAGAGTAGAGTATATGGAGAGTAAAAGAAAGGTGAAGAGAGTGGTGAGAGAGTGGGACAGGTACTGTCAAGAAATTTTAATGAAAATAAGAAAAAAATTTGGAGTTAAGCAAGTTAAGAAAGCCTAGGGAACAAATGGATTTGTCAGTTAAAAACAGAGTAGGGGAGTTAGTACATGGAGGTCTTGGGTAGATGGCGAGAATATTTTGAGGAGCTTTTAAATGTCGACGAAGAAAGGGAGGCGGTAATTTCATGCACTGGTCAGGGAGGTATACCATCTTTTAGGAGTGAAGAAGAGCAGGATGTGAGTGTGGAGAAGGTGCATGAGGCATTACGCAGAATGAAAGGGGGTAAAGCAGCTGGAACTGACAGGATCATGACAGAAATGTTAAAATCAGGGGAACACATAGTGTTGGAGTGGTTGGTATTTTTGTTTAATAAATGTATGAAAGAGGGGAAGGTACCTAGAGATTATCAGAGAGCATGTATAGTCCCTTTATATAAAGGGAAAGGGGACAAAGGAGACTGTAAAAATTATAGAGGAATAAGTTTACTGAGTATACCAGGAAAAGTGTACGGTAGGGTTAAATTGAAAGAATTAGAGGTAAGACAGAATGTAGGATTGCGGATGAGCAAGGAGGTTTTAGAGTGGGTAGGGGATGTGTAGATCAAGTGTTTACATTGAAGCATATATGTGAACAGTATTTAGATAAAGGTAGGGAAGTTTTTATTGCATTTATGGATTTAGAAAAGGCATATGATAGAGTGGATAGGGGAGCAATGTGGCAGATGTTGCAAGTATATGGAATAGGTGATAAGTTACTAAATGCTGTAAAGAGTTTTTATGAGGATAGTGAGGCTCAGGTTAGGGTGTGTAGAAGAGAGGGAGACTACTTCCTGGTAAAAGTAGATCTTAGACACGGATGTGTAATGTCTCCATGGTTGTTTAATATATTTATAGATGGGGTTGTAAAAGAAGTAAATGCTAGGGTGTTTGGGAGAGGGGTGGAATTAAATTATGGGGAATCATATACAAAATGGGAATTGACACAGTTGCTTTTTGCTGATGATACTGTGCTTATGGGAGATTCTAAAGAAAAATTGCAAAGGTTAGTGGACGAGTTTGGGAGTGTGTGTCAAGGTAGAAAGTTGGAAGTGAACATAGAAAAGAGTAAGGTGATGAAAATATCAAATGATTTAGATAAAGAAAAATTGGATATCAAATTGGGGAGGAGGAGTATGGAAGAAGTGAATGTCTTCAGATACTTGGGAGTTGACGTGTCAGCTGACAGATTTATGAAGGAGGAGGTTAATCATAGAATTGATGAGGGAAAAAAGTTGAGTGATGCATTGAGGTATATCAGGAGACAAAAAATGTTATCTATGGAGGCAAAGAAGGGAATGTATGATAGTAGTACCAACTCTCTTATATGGGTGTGAAGCTTGGGTTGTGAATGCAGCAGCGAGGAGGCGGTTGGAGGCTGTGGAGATGTCCTGTCTAAGGGCAATGTGTAGTGTAAATATTATGCAGAAAATTAGGAGTGTGGAAATTAGGAGAAGGTGTGGAGTTAATAAAAGTATTAGTCAGAGGGCTGAAAAAGGGTTGTTGAGGTGTTTTGGTCATTTAGAGACAATGGATCAAAGTAGAATGACATGGAGAGTGTTTAAATCTGTAGGGGAAGGAAGGCGGGGTAGGTGTCGTCCTCGAAAAGGTTGGAAGGAAGGGGTAAGGGAGGTTTTGTGGGTGAGGGGCTTGGACTTCCAGCAGGCGTGTGTAAGCATGTTCAATAGGAGTGAATGGAGACGAATGGTATTTGGGACCTGACGATCTGTTGGAGTGTGAGCAGGGTAAAATTTACTGAAGGGATTCAGAGAAACCAGTTATTTTTATATAGCTGGACTTGAGTCCTGGAAATGGGAAGTACAATGCCTGCACTCTAAAGTAGGGGTTTGGGATATTGGCAGTTTGGAGGGATATGTTGTGTATCTTTATACGTATATGCTTCTAAACTGTTGTGTTCTGAGCACCTCTGCAAAAACAGTGATTATGTGTGAGTGAGGTGAAAGTGTTGAATGATGATGAAAGTATTTTCTTTTTGGGGATTTTCTTTCTTTTTGGGTCACCATGCCTCGGTGGGAGACGGCCGACTTGTTAAAAAAAAAAATTGGAGTGAGACAAGTTATGGATGTAATATCCCTATTAGCTGTTTAGAATGACATTGTGGATGTGTGCAACACTTACCCAATTTGCAGCATCAGCATTATCTTTCACAGCTCTAAGGATGACATAATTATCCTCTTCCTCCTCCTCCTCCTCCTCCTTACTTTCTTCATGTTTTAGATATTTAGAAGGGCCATCACAGCTGCCCTGAGTCACCACACGAACATTTTCATATTCGTGATCACTGATGGCATCACTGTTATACCCGCTTGTCACCTGAAAGTAGTTTTAATTAGATTGGAATCCACTGTTTAACTTAGCACACTTGAGTATTGATTCTCAATGTAATGTATTTCAATGCAATTAAATAAAGCTCATTAGCCTGAAAGAATTTCTAACTCATTTATTATATTCAAAGAAAAATGTTAGCATAAAACTTCTAAAGGTACAGTATATGTATATCTTAGTGAATAATACTGTAAAATACATGAATATTACACTTTTTTTACAAATTATATAAATAAACATTTGAAATTTCTACACAAATAACCCGCACACAGAAGAGGGGAGCTTACGACAACGTTTCGGCCTGACTTGGACCATTTACAAAGTCACACTAACAAAAAGGAGAGAAGAAGGGAGTATATATAGGCCAGCAGACAGGGACGAGACAAGAGAGGTAGTAGGAAAAGAGGAGGAGAGGTAGTGGTAGAGGTGGTAGTAGTAGTAGAAAAGCATTCGTATCTCCCTCTTTCTCTGTGCTCTCTGCATTTGTGATCCTCAGTTCCTTGAATCAGAAATTTCCACTCTTCATAATTCATTTTCCCATCTTGACTACCATTCCCATTTCTGGCACTCACCAGACGGAGGATCGAGCCTCCAACACGTCTTGCGCTGAATGACTCACTTGGGTTTAGCGCTTAACATGGATTAATTTATATTATATTTTCTACTCCTGAGAACTCTCCTGTCCTCTGCCTTCCTTGCATTTCCGGTCTTTCTAATCTCAACAACTCTCTCCGTTCCTTAGACATCAAACTTACTTTTCGCCACTAATCTAGTTCATCTTCACACTAATCTAGTTCATACCTCTCCACCCTCTATAGATGCTCCTGGAGTCTAGTCTATTTATTATTCCTCCTGTCCTCTTCAGTACTTTGGAGAACTGGCCATTCTCTTTCTGACAGACTCAGAGAGCACAAAAGTAGTGTTAGGCTTGCTGACACCAACAATGCTCTTTTCTGTCATGTCATAGATCACAGTCATCCTACTGACTGGCCTTCTGCTAAAACTGTCTACCCTACTTCTAACTTTCAGTCACCGTCTGGTTGAATCCTCCCTAATATCTATCCCTTGTATGGATCTTAGTCCTGGCTTTATCTTTGTAGATGCCTTCCTTTCTCATTACATTGTAAAATGCTCCAAACTGCAGAACACCCACGACTTAGCCTGATTCTTTTTTTATCTTTTCCCTTTCCCCTTTCCTCTTTTGGGTTTTCTTTCTTCTGCCTTGGGTACTGTCCTTTATTTATCTATTTTTTCTCCCCCTCTGTGTTCTTGCTCCTACCCTTTGTGGGCCCCTAGCTCCATTGTAGTGCTCCTCTTTCTTAGTATTCAACTGACCCCACTACTACTACTACGTACTACCACCTCTACCAATACCTCTCCTCCTCCTTTCCTACTACCTCTCTTGTCCCATCCCTGTCTGCTGGCCTATATGTACTCCCTCCTTCTCTCCTTTTTGTTAGTGTGACTTTGTAAATAGTCCAAGTCGGACTGAAACATCGTCGTAAGCTCCCCTCTTCTATGTGCAGGTTATTTGTGTATTGCTCCAGTCATGGTATTGTGCCTTTTTTGTTATTGAAATTTATATCATGTAAATAATGCAAGAAGTCATTTATAATTATAATTCCATTTTTTTAAACAAAATTTAAATCCTCCACAATGCAGAATTAACATAATTTTATGATATAGGTATGTTGAAACTAGCAAAATTTACCTCATATTCATCCATGATGTAGGCCTTCGTGCTATGATCATCTTGTCTTACTGACTCAGGAGAAGAGTCACTAGAAACACTACTAGCATGAAACACTACATTTCGGGAATTAAGACCTTCCTCAAACTGCCTTGCCAAACGTATAACTCGAGGAGTTGTTGGTTTTAAGGTGGCTTCAGGAGACGAGGGTTCACTGCTACACGAGCCACCTGTAGTTGTTGCATCAGATTCTTCTTCCAAGAGGCGGCTAATGGTAGAAACAATAGTACACTGTTTTCCACCATAACTTCTAACCAAGTGCTGACCTCTCTGATTATTTTGTTGTCCTCGTACAACACGACTTGTGACTCGGGGCTTTTCAGCAATAGGCGGTTTGTGGAACACCCGATCAGTTGTAGCCCTAACTGAAGCCACATTTGGATTGACAGTTTCAGTGGGCTGCTTCCTGTTATTCTGAACATTTGTATGATGATGTACCTGTTGAGATTTCAGGAAATTTGAGCCATTATTGCAATTTATTAGCTCGGAAACACTAGTAGCTACACGGATCATGCCAGATGATGATTTACGGCTGGATGGGGAACCTGAATGAGACTGCCTGTGTCCTTTACTACGTGATGAAGAACTTTCTTCTGAAGATTCAACTCTACTCATTTTTAATCTTGGTTCCAGGTGCTCTGTATCTTCTCCAGGATCAATGCATACTTCATTGAACTTTTTCAATTTGTTTATTAATCGTCTATTATCTCGTCTCAAACGATCGATCTCTTGTCTTTGAGCAGATATGACATGATCTCGTTGAGCCAGCTGCCCAACAATTCCCTTCTGTTCTCGTCGCAAATGTGCTTCCAGCAACAACAATTTGCTTATCACTGCTTGTAACTGGGCATCTTTTTGACTTTTTAATCTTGAAATAATCCTCTTACTGTCCCGAACCTGCAGTAGAAGAATAAATATTAATACATACAAAATACTCAACAATTAAACTAGTAAACCCTCGATATAACGGACTGTTAAAATTATAGACAAAATCCAGTTAAATTGAATTTGTAACTTCTTTATTTTCAGTATTTATTGAAGTACATGTGCAAATTGTGCATACAGTACATATTAGGTATACAGTAGAGTAGTGCAATTTTTTTTGGTTATTTTTAACATTATGTATTCTGATTTATCGAACACTGGACAAGCACCTAAAGTCAGTTCCGGATCAGCCGGGCTGTGGCTCGTACGTTGGTTTGCGTGTAGCCAGCAGCAACAGCCTGGTAGATCAGGCTCTGATCCACCAGGAGGCCTGGTCACAGACCGGGCCGCGGGGGCATTGACCCCCGGAACTCTCTCCAGGTAAACCCCAGGTAAACTGGGACAATCCCCCCATTAGCCCGTCACACTGAGGATTTACTGTAAATAACATTAATTTGAAACGACAGATGCTTTGAGCCTTTCATTCCAAGACTTCCCACTAATTTTCAGAACAGCGTACTGTACCATACCCGAAAAACATAACCATACAGTTATTTTCCTGCATGTAAAGCTTTTAAAAAATCTCATACAATTACTATGCCTTATATAGCCAAGGTCTGGAACAAGGGTAGACTTTGGGTTACTGACAGGTGGTGGTTTGAGTGTACTGGTAAACTAAACTCCAAACACCTTTCCCCTACAAAACTATTACCCAGAATACAGTGGTCCCTCGATAATCGTAGTTCTCGGGAATTGTAGATTTCGGAAATCATAGGGATATTTTCGTATAAACATGGGCTCGCTAATCGTAGGTTGACTCGCGAATAGTAGTTCGTCTGGGACGCGTACGCACGGTGTGAGCCAGGGCGGCATCCCTACCCAGCCAGTCTGGTATTGTTTACCAGTGAGCGAAGGTCCCCTCACGTGCTCCTATGAAATATTTCATAATATTCCACTCATTTTAGTGCTTGCAAGTACTAAATAAGCTACCATGGCTCCAAAGAAAGCTCCTAGTGCCAAGCCTGTGGTAAAGAAGGTGAGAAATACGATTGAATTTAAGAAAAACATCACTGAACAATATGAAAGTGGCACAAGTGCGGCCAAACTGGCCAGGATGTATACAGGGCCGGATTAAGAAGTCTCCGGGCCCTAGGCTATTCAGACTGGCGGGGCCCCTTTGAGTTACGGGTAAGCGAAGCGACCCCTTCCAGCTTGGGGGTGGGGGTGGGGGGGTCGGTGTGAGCCTGTTTAAGGTCTAATTAAATACATTCTGGCTATTTAGATTAAATTAATAGGGAAAGTACATTAAGACAACCAAAACCATTTACCAACAGCCATTATAACTATCTTGTTAAATCATGCATTTTAAAGAGAATAAACTCAAGACAGCATAGTATTACTAGATTAGGCTATTAAAGTAGTGACATCATGTACCTATTATATTCAGCATAACCACTACAGCACTATTATTCCCTTTATAAATCACTGACCATTATTGTTATCATTGCATCATGCATAAGACTATCAAATCACATAAACTCAAGAAAGTAAAGAATTTTTTATATTCACAGCACTTCTTAATAAACTTTTTTCGGGATTTCATATTGGCAAAATCATCAATTATATTCTGAAAATCAATATTTCTTGTTAGATCAGACTCAATGGTCAACAAGGCTAGGTTACACAATTTGTCTTGGCTCATTGTTAAACGGAGCTAGTTTTTCACTCTTTTCAAAACAGAAAATGAACGTTCTCCTTCACACTAGTAGCTGGAAGTGTTAGGTAAAGGTGATACACTATGTCAACATTAGGGAAGGTTTCTGAGATACCTGCATTTCTTAAATGTTTCAAAGCAGCTGAGGGTGCACATTTTTCAGGTGGAGCTTTAATCTGTTTTCATATACCCAGAAAAATGAACTATTTCTTCAACAAATGTGTCCTGAACATCTGCTGAAAGGTGTTGTTGCAACTTTAATGCAGCTTCTCTCAATTCTGCATCTGGCATAGTAGTAATTTTGAACAGAAATCCAAACTTGTCATTGAGATTCTGGTAAAATTTCTTTTTTTTTCACCAATTCTGTAATCAGTGAATCCAGAATGACGCAGTATGTAGCTGTTCTTACACTTCTGCCTTGGTAGCAACACAATTTCATTGTCTGGCTCTTCAAAATTGCGTTTCCTCTTCCTTGACCCCTGATGATCAGCCCGGTAACTGTAGTCTTTCACCAGCATTTTTAGCTTTCTCTTCAAACATTTCAAAGCTTCATCATTGCGAAGTGAGCTTACAAATTCCACTAAGCCTGCATAGAGGTTAGCACAAGTAGCCATTTCAATTTCAATTTTCTGAAGTGTCTTGTTTGTGGCATTTAACCGTTCCAGTATACAGTCCAAAGCCACCAGAGTAAGGCCAATTCAAATCTTCCAATTTTGATGCTAAGCTGGCTGCTTCGCTTCTTGTAGTTGCTATCTGGTCTTCATCCTCTGCTATTTGGATCAAAGCAGAACGTATTTCAGCAAAGCTGTCTTTCAAAGCATGTGTTGCATCATGCTGCGCTGACCACCTTGTTGTTGATAATGATTTGATGACATCTCCATGAATGGTTGACTTGAGTATACTCCACCGATGCGTTGAAGCAGAGAAAAAATTAAAGAGTGCTTGTAAAAGTCAAAAAAATGAAACTGCAGCGACACAACACTCCGCAGCACATGACCCAACAAGATTAAGAGAATGTGCTGAGCAGGGCACATATTCAGCAAGTGGGTTGATTTGCTTGATACGGGCTTGCAATCCATTATATTTACCCGACATGTTACTTGCATTGTCGTAGCTCTGGCCACGGCAATCCATAACAGAGAGATCATGTTCAAGCAGAGTATCCAGTACTACATTCATCATTGTTTCTCCATCATGGCCTGAAAGAGGAATGAATTTTATAAAGCGCTCTACAGGCTTACCACTGGAGTCGACAAAGCGAACAATGAATGTCAATGAATGAATATGTGAAATATCTGGTATTGAATCTACACTTATTGCAAAGTATTTTGCAGTTTTCACAGCTGCTATGATGTTATTGAGGACCTTCTTAGTCATCAGTTCAATAAATTCATTGCATATAGTAGATGACATGTAAGATACAGTGCCTCTTCCTGCATTCCCAAGGCGTGACACATGATTTGCTAAGAATGGATCGAATTGTGCTAACAGTTCTATGATCCCTAGGAAATTGCCATTGTTTTCCGAACCAAAAACCTCATTTTCTCCACGGAAAGCAAGTCCTCTTAGAACTAAGAATTTTACAACAGCAACAACTCTTTCTAGAACTTTTCTCCAGTAAGTGCATTCTTTTTCAGTTTGATTTTCCAAATGAGAATCCAATAAGCCTTTTTTCTGTGCACGAAATACACTGGCTAAAATGCAGCTCCTGTGAGTGGTGCTGTTTTCATGTTCCTCGAAATGCTTGGAATTTTTCCAGTCATTGAACCCCTGTGTGAAGGTATTTTCTTTGGTAGAAAATAGCTTGCATGCTGAACAGTACACTTTTCCTGAGCTTTCAGAGTATACCATCCATTATCTTTTCACAGTTTCTGAATTTGCAAGCTTCCTATAAAACATAGATGACTTTAAACAACAATGACTTCCACCATCATAAATCCTTGCTGATTTCCTAAAGTCAATGTTCAGAGTTTGACTGAAGTTTTCTGCAATGAAAGCATTACGTAGAGAATCTGGGATTACATTTGGCCATGAGGCAGGAACTTTTAAGACAAATCCTGTGGATGAAATGTCCGTTGAGACATTGAGAGGAGACACAAAAGAAGTAGATGCTGGCTGAGAAATAATGGAGGGAGGGCTTCCTGTATGATCTGACATATCTGCAGATTCAACTGTACTGGTAACATCAGAAACTGTTTTCATGAGCATGTCTGTGATCTTTCTGCAGCTTCCTACATCTTTCTTTTTCTGTTCTTCTTCTTGAATTTTCTTCTTTCTTTTCTGTGACCCACTCGCATAAGAACGTCCAACATCACGTTCACGAGATGCCATAATGAGGATGTATCACTGTCTGTAATCATGCAAATACAAATATTTCATTATCAATTATTATTAATTTTTTAATTATTATTAAAATTTTTTTCTGTCAATTGGGGGGATATGACCCTTGTAGCCCCCTTTCCTCTGGCTGCGCATCTAAAAATTCAAAACGTTACCAGAAAGGAGTCATATACAGAACTTTTACCATAGATTAGGTTAGTGATTTGGGCTATGAATATTTTACTAATTCATCCTCCTTGATCTCCAATTTACTTAAACAGAAATCATACTGAGTCCAAGAACAATGCACAATGGTATTTATATTACCATTTTCATAACTAAACTAATCATTATGTTTTGCATGATATATGGCCTACCACCATAGATAAGGACATGAGAATTGAAGAATGCAGGGACAATTTTCAGTTTCACCCAACCATCGATTTTCTGATGTGGCTTATGTGTTTCTGGGGAAATATGTAGTAAATTAATTGATGTTCTACATCACTTCCATCGCAACTTGAAAACTAAGCATTTGCGACGGAAGTGATGTAGAACATCAATCAATCGAGATCTGTTATTGAAATGATAAAGACTTAAAGACAGGACAAAGTGCTTTTAAAACCTACAAACGGAAGTCAGTTTGCATTTTTAGGATTTTCTTTATAGTATTTTTACCAAAAATGCATCTTTACTGGTCCATGCGTCTTTACTGGTCAAGTAACCCTATCAGGTACCTCCCTTAAGTAAGTAAGTAAGTTTATTCAGGTATACACAAATACAGTTACATAGAATTATCATACATAGCAGCATATGTGTAGAGAACCTAGGATAACCCAAAAAAGTCAGACACAGTGACTTATTTCCATTGGTGTCCTTAACATTTAGAGGCGAAAACAAACATTTATCCATACACATCAATGTCTATCAACAACACTTC